GGTTCTATTTATCAAAGGATTCAAAACGTCACTTGTATATCACAAATATTCAATAAGTCTGCTGCAAATGTGGTAACCATTGTTGATAGCAATGTATTTTACTGTGGAAAATCACAAAGGGCCAGATAGTCAGAAATAATGTTTTCCATTTCCAAAGAAATAAAAGAAAAAATAGATGTCCAATATGGGCCACTGATGCCTGAACTGTTGCTTAACTGGGACGTATTATAAAGTTCTGGAAAGACCAGGTACATTATGACTGGCTGTGGTCCACGTTTGTCTAGCTTCATAAACTCTTTCTTCCTGCCTAAGGGCTCGGGTGCCGTCCTGTCTTGCTACCAGCCAAGGCACGCTTCTGTCTATCAGCCCCCGGTAAATTGCACTGTCTGCTTCTTCAATCTTTTGGTACATTTTGCCTCTGGCAGCTGCTTCTCATGCATCAGAACCAGGCTTTTCAGAAAACAACAGAGTCTTGAAACAGTATTTGCACACCAGTGTTCATAGCAGCACTGTTCACAATAGCCAAGCAACTCGAGGGTGCCATCGATTGATGAGTAGATATAGACATAATGTGTCATATCTACACAATGAAATATTACACAGCCCTAAAAAGGAAGTAAATCTTATGTTGCAATATGGACGCACCTTGAATATGGACGATGCTAAGTGAAATAGGCCAGTCACGAAAAGACAAATACTGTCTGACACCTACCGTACACAATATCTACAACAGTCCAGTTCATAGAAAGAGAAAGTAGGATAGTGGTTACCAGGGACTGGGATAGAGAGCTCAACTCTGTGTTTAACTGGCACAGAGCTCAAGTTTTATAAAATGAAAATGCTCTGGGGATCACAATATGAATATACTTAACACTTCTGAACTGTGCACTTAGAGATGGTAGTTTTGGGTCATGCATTTTTACTTGGTACCTTCTGCCTTGATACATAATCTGCATTCTACTTGGGCTCTGTGTCTACTATAATATCCTCCTCAAACATCTAGTAAAAATTCTCCTTTGGGGAGACACAGTTGTTACTCGGCAGACCCTGCATTGCCTAACCCCGGTTTGAGAAGCATTACTCTGCTCACACTTCCCAGGGAGCCAAAGCCACCATCATCCATAGGATCTTGATCTTCACATCTTCATCCAGAGAAACAAGCTGGCATCTATCTCCTGCTTCAAGACCAGTGCTATTTAGGGAATATCCATCACTTCAATGTCAGAATTGAGAGACAGTACCTTTCAGGAGTGGCTGGCTTTTTAAGAAGGAAATCCTCGAGACTGATTGCTTCTGACCCCCAAGCAATAAAAGCAAACAGTAGAATGGGAGGAAGGTGACACAACTGATGTTTCAAGGAGTTCGTGGATCACAGCACAGGCTTTGGCTCCTCGCTCCTCACACCAGCCCTCCGCCGGGTCTGTGTGCTGGAGAATTCTGTCATTAGCCCACTTCCGGCAGAAACGCTCTGGTCCTTTGTATAAATCTAATAGAATGTTTCCCTTCTGTCTAAAGAACTTTTGTTATCATTTCTTTGAGTTTGAGTCTGCTGGCAACGAATGCTCTCCGACACTGACGGTCTGGAAAATATCTTTATTTCACCTTCCTTCTTGAAAGATATTTTGTTGGAGATACAACTTAGAATGACCAGGATTTTTTTATTTAAAGGCTTTAAGGACTGTGTTGCATTATTGCATTGACTTGCACAGGCTGCAGTGCCACTCTCCACAGAAATTTGTTTTCTTGCAGTTCTGCAGGCTACAAGCGTAAGATCCAAGTGTCAGCAAGGCAGGTTTCTCCTGTGGCCTCTCCCCTTCTCATAGCTGGTCAGCTTCTCCCTGTGTCTTCACTGCTCGTGTGTGCGTGTGTGTGTGTGTGTGTGTGTGTGTGCGTGCGTGCGTGTGTTCTCACTGAACACCAGTCACATAGATGGGGGCTCATTCTAAGGACTTCATTTTGCTTAATTACATCTTCGAAGACCCTGTCCATTTTGAGCTACTGGGCCTTAGAACTTTAACACCTGAATTAGAAGTTTACCCACTGAGACTCTAGCAAGTCCTTCCTGACGAGAAGTGTGCTATCATCCTTAGCATTGATCCTCTGTATGTAATATCCGCTTTGTCTAACTGCCTTTAAAATTTATCAGTCTTTGTCAACAATTTGCTTGGGATGTTCCTCGAAGTGTTTTTGCTGTACTGTGCTAGTAGCTTGTTGAGATTTTAATACTTCTTTGTACTGTTTTATCAAACTGTGAATATAAAAGCTATTACTTCATTAAATTTTTCTGCCCCATCCCAATTTTCCTCCCCTTGTGGACTCAAATTTCTCATCTATTAAAATATCTGTCTTATTGCATAGGTCACCAATAACTTCCTCCTCACTTTAGGAGGCTAACTTGGTCCAAACCCAAAGGCCTTAAAACTAAGGAGACCAATGGTATAACTCAGCCTGAAACCAAAAGCCCAAGAACCCAGAGGGTCCCTGATTCAAGTCCTACAACCCCCAAATCAGAAAACTGGACCTCTGACATCCAAGGACAGAAGAAGAAGGATTTCCTGGCGCTGAGAGACAAAACAACAATTCGTACTTCCTGCACTTTTTCTTTCCGTATGGGCCCATGGCTAATTGGATGGTGCCCACCACTTTGAGGGTAGATTCCCCCCCCACTCACTCTTCTGACTCCCACACCAGTCTCTGCCATAAACACTGTCACAGACACAATGGGGCAGCCCAATCATTCTCATCAATACCAAACCACCTTTCAGCAGAAGACAGATAGGCTCAGTGGCTACTGAAGTCCAGAGAATAAATATCCTTTACCAACTGTCTGAGATTCCCTCAGTTCAGTCAAGTTGACACCCACCATCACCCATCATAGACTTTGTCTGGTATTACTTTAATTTACTTAAAAGTCATTTGACTCTTTTAAGGTTTGCTGTTAAGCTTGGTTAAGATGAATCCAGAGTATCCTTTTGCCCAGGAGAAGGCACAGAGTAAGTGAAATTGAAATCCAGTGGTTGAGAGTAATCCAAGAGGAAGAGAACTTAAGGCAGGCAGAAGGCACAGAGCTATGAACCCAATCTGGGGAAAGAAGAAACAATGCTTATATGTGAAAGTGAGTTAGGTGAGGGCTTAATCCTGAAAGGCTTCTTATTTACATTTGGGAGTTGAATGAGGTGTGACACCCTCCCTTGGTGGACATTTGGTATTCTTGGCCTCCACCCACTCAAAAGAAGCTCTGTGTTCTCTCCTTGCATTAACCAAAACTGCTGCCACCCATTTCAAAAATGCCCCCAGGGGCAGAGGAAAGGGCCCGAGTTACAGCTCCCATTAGGAACCACTGGCTTAGGAACTCAAGATTTAAAATGCATGGGTGATCAAAAAACATGATGAATGTTTGCATTTTAAAAATTTATTACAGTAAAATACACATTGCCAAGAAAGATGGGATAAGTGTATTTGAAGCAAGGAGTTTTTTAAGGTGGGTTAATGGCAATGTATCTTTTACTGTAATAAATCCTTTTTAAATTCACCATAGTTTTTGCTCACCCCACTCATCTCCCTTTTGACTCTGCCCTCCACTGGCCCTAATTCCTCCTCCTGCCATCTCATCAGGGGGACCAAAGAGGTGCTTGCTTGATTCACTCATCCTGGATGACCCAATCCATTGACCTCTATGGTTGCAGCTCCTGCCCTAGTGTTCATCAGAGTGCCCACCCACCACATCTCCAGTTGGCTCTTCCCTCTGTCTACCCAGAATCAGCTCCTCCTCAAAGGCTCAGCTCAAGTGCCTCTCTAAGAAGGCATCTCCGTCCATTCCAGATGGCAGCCACCTATCCCTCCTCCTGGCCATGGAGACAATGCCCATGGCTTACCTCTTCATTGTACAGAGCTGAACAGAATACTGCACAGTATTCAAACTGTGGTCATGACTGGCCCCCTAGAAACCTGAGACTAGGTCTGTCATTCCATAATGGAATGGAATACACGCATAGGAATATATGTGTGTTGTGGAATATACACAAATATTCCACTGTAATGCATATATACTTCAAATCATGTTGTTCATGGTAAATCACATAAATTTACAATGTGTTGATTTAAAATAAATAAATAATGCATCTAATACTATACCTAACAAGCACTCCGAATAGATGCCAGCTGCCGTGGTGAAGTGAGGGTCAGCAAGCTGGATGTCCTGGCCCTGGGTCCAAGCTTATTCCCCTGCAGTGGATGGTGCCAGGCTCTACACCTTGAGCTTTGGATTGCAAGGAGGCAAAGAGAATTTGGGGAGGAGCTGCACAGCTGGTAGAGCAGGGTCCCTGCCACATAGAAGGGTACTGCGCCAGTCAGAACCTATACAATTGCACACTACAGGTTTGACAGTCTTGGTTTATACCAACTTAATATAAATCCTGCCACTAGCTAGCAATTAAAAATCAGGTTAAATCTAGTTTTAAGGAAAGAAACAGGAAACGGTTTGCTCAAACATGGGTTCCAGGATAATATCCTCAAAAGATACTATTTCCTTAAGCCTGGTCAATTATTTTCATTTACAAACATCCACGGCAGAGAAATCTATGTTTTAATAAGCTCTCAAAGGGTTTTGATACAAATTGAAAATTTAAGAGCCATTGCCTTGGTAGCTTCCTGTGTGTCCCTACTGGCTTGCAAACCCTTTCAGTGAAGGAATTGTTTGTTAATTCTTAGAATCTGTCTCACTCCGGCCACGTAATTGGGGTTTTCAGTTCTATTTGTCAAGGGCTGGGGATTAGTGAGCCCAGGGCCTGCCTTAGAGGTTGGTTTTAGTCACCTGCATGATCCTGAGCAGGTGCTTCCCTCTTGTTTTCCTATATAAAGGCTTTTAAAAAGTGCTACACAGATGAAGCATCCAAAAACTCCCCCACAACTTCCCTAACTGCCTCTCAACAACACTGCTGTGCCTAAGCACATCCTACCCAAGTAGCCACTGCTGAGCACATGAAGATTCATAAAACTGGTTTCTGCTTTCAAGAGGCATCAAGTTTAATAGCAGGAAAGCATAGGTAAATAAATAATGGTACAGAAATCATGGCACATGAAAAATATAGAAATACTGGCAGAGTCAAGAGAACTTAATATCTGGACTGAGTTTGAAAGAACGGGTCAGAATTGAGGAGAGACAAGCAACCCAAACAAGGGAACGGTGTGCAGAGAATGGAAGTGTGAACTGGAGAGTGACAGGGTGGTGACTGGGCGTGGGAAGAGCTTCCTCCAGCCACGGGTGTTCAAGTGGGAGGATGCAGATGCCGATGGAGTGGATTTGGGAAAATAGACCCTCAAGGTCACTCCCGCCTGTGCCAAAGGAAGCTGGTTGTGACAGTACAGCCACAGCGTTTCACTTTCCCAAATGCAGCAGCTTCCCAGAGCCCCTGGGCTGCAAGTTGGACATCCTGGTTCTGACTCCATGCTCATTCTAAAGCAGTGACTTTCAAAGAGTTTTGATTGTCACCCCAGCAAGAAATATGGTTTGTAGTGTGACCCAGAAACACATGCATAACATTAAGAGTAGAAACACGATTCCCATGCAGTGATACCTCCATTATTACCCAGAATGCATTTTGATGTTTTGTTTTCTATTCTATTTCAAAGGAAGGAGGGAAGGGAAGGAGGAGGAAAGTTACATTGCATCCATAAAACTAGTCTCACAATCCAATGAGTCACAACTCACAGTTTGAGAAACACCAATCTAGGACTCACAGCCTAGTTTGGAAGTGTCAAAAAGCAGCACAGTGCAGGGCTAAAAATACAGACTCTGGGAGCAAACTGCCAGATACAAGTCTCTGTGCTCCCCCACTTATTATCTGTGTGGACTCCAGCAAGTTACTTACACTTTCTATTCCTCCATTTCTTTGTCTACATCTGAACAACAGTAACTTCCTCTCATGATTGGTGTGAAAATTAAGTAAGATAAGTATATATAAGCAAGTCCAGAGAAATTTTGCCGGATCTCAAATAAGTGCAGCCTAAGTGTTAAATGTCACCATCATCACCTTAACTTAAAATAAAGCTAAATTGCAGTTCCACTAGTGGAAGAAACAAGGCAATACCAAAGAGTTTATTTGCAAGTCTGTACAAAACTACACAGTGTGCAGGGCAGGTATGGGATGCCCTGGGACCTGGTCCATGCAGGTTGCACCCTCCTGGTCATTTGCTTCCAGTGGAGGGTGGGGTGTCCTGGAGACCAGAACTGCTGGGTTGGAATGGACCCTCTGCCTTCGCTAGCAAGTGCTTAATTTCTCTGCTCACATTTTGTAACCCAAAGTGAGGGAGGCTCCCACCATATTGATGTCCCCCTAAATGTCACATGTTAAAACTTAATCCCCACACAACAGTGTTAAGAGGTGAGACCTTTAGGAGGTGTTTAGCTCATGTAGCTCCCCAGTAGGGACCAGTGCCCTATAAAAAGGGTTTAAAGGAGCCCTTTTGCCCTTCTGCCATGCCAGAACACAGCAAGAAGTCACCATCTTGAAGGGAGAGGACCCCTCACCTCACCAGATGCCAAATCTACTAGTGCCTTAATCTTGGGTCATCCTGTCTCCAGAACTATGAGCATTAAATTTCTAGTGCTCATAAAGTACACAGACTAAAGTATTTCATTATGGTGGCCTGAACAGACTTACGACAACTTCCTTCTTACAATGAATCCCAGGGAACATGCTAAAACAATAGTTTGTAGAAAGAAATGTTGCATTCTTTTTCCATTCAATCCAGTCAGGGACAGCCCACAGATGGGTTTAAAAGAAGAGAGAGAAAAACAAATCTTTCAATTATTACATAAGTCAACCCACCTCATCCAGCACCTCAGATACTTGGATAGTAAAATTAAAGATCTTCTGCCATCACATGGGTAGAAGTCAAATTTCTAGAACATTCCACCAATCACCCAAAAGGACAAAATCAGAAAACAAAGAACTGGAGACTTGAAGTAAAGGTTTCATTGGTCATGATGATCAAAAGATGATGGATAACACACACGCAGACCTCATCCCACTGGCCACAGGGCAGAAGCGACACTTCCAGGCCTCACATCCCCTCCAGCGGGGCTCATCCTGAAGACTCTGCGACCACCGCCCTCCTAGAACTCTGTCCCTGACCCTGAACTTCCACTGGCCTGGTTCTCGTGGTCCCTTCACATGGCACCTGAAGGCTGGATGTCCAGCAGAGCTGTGAAAAGCGGGGGGTTCAGGCCCGAGCCTGCGGTGGGTAGTGTGGCGATGTCCGTGAGCTGGTCTTCCTTTCCCAAGTCTCTCCTCTCCCCTCTCCCACCCCATCATTGTTCCCCAGAAACAAATAGGATGGCTTCACTGGTCAATTCTTAACATGTACAAACACCAAAAGCAGAGGAAACACCCCTGGCCACCCCCCTCCCCCCAAACCCTAGTGCTGGGAGAGCAGCGGCGGTGGGCGAGGCTGCTCGGGACTGCGGGAGCTGTCCGGCGTCCTGGAAACGTGTCTGGCCTCTGGGCTTTACCTGGAGGCCTCTTCCTTCAGCTCCTTGTTTTTCCGCACCTCCTCCGCGTGCTTGTCCTGGGGAGGAAGGGAGGGACAAGGGAGGGTCACACCGGCTGTCCAGGGGTAAGGGGAGGTGGAGGGGAAGAGAACAGAGTGCCAGAGATGACCACAGCAGGAAGAACGGGGCTGTGTCCGCAAAGGCATCCTGAGAGGGGGCAGAAGACGGCAGGTGAGTGAGCTGCTGCGGTGGCCCAGAGAGCCCCTGGGCCGGTGGGTCCCTACCTCCCTTGGGGACCCACCTCACAGTGGCCCCAGGGTCCCTCAGCCTCTTTCTCCCTCCTCCTGCCTTCTTGGCTTTGGGACTGATCACTAGCTTGACAATGCAGGTTCCAGCTGGAGGTAGCCTGTGCTACCAGAGCAGGTAGCGGAGCCAGCCTCACCGCCCGCACCCACTGCCAGTGGCATGGCGTGCACTCGCCCAGCTGCTGTCATCTCCTCCGTCTCCTTAGTGAGCATGACCTGGACTTTATGGTTGAAGGATGGAGGTTCTCAAAGTACAAACTGATAGAAGAATTTTTAGAAAGGCAATCCGAAGATTACTCCAAAAAGTAGACTTTCGTAGTCCTTCTTGTAAGAGAACCCTCATTTGTAAAAGACAAACCTGACCTCCCAGGCCCTCCTGCTGTGCGACCTTGGCTGACACTTCCCCACTGGGGCCTCATTCTCTGATCTGGCCCAGGGGCCTGACTGGCAGCCCTTTGCCTCCCAGGCTCTGGCAGGGTCCAGTTGCAGGCGGGGTAAGCCCTGCCTCATTATGCTCATATGGGTCTCTATCACAGATGACTTCTGCATGGGCAGGCACCAGGGCTTTTTCCTCTTTGTATGTCCCAGTTCTTGTATGGCACTTGGACTTAGCAGGTGCTCGGTAAGTGAGCCCCCTAACTGAGCCTGGCATTGTCACATTCAGATGACAGAACCAACCTGGATGGGATGTGCTGAAGCAGCCCAGACTCCCAGGATGGGACCTTAATCTACAGCTCAGCGGCAAAAAACGCCTGCCTGGCAAGCGCAAGGTCGTGAGTTCGGTTCCCGGTACCGGAGAAAAACCAAAAACCAAAAACAACAACAACAACAAAAACTACAACTCTGTCCCTAGAGACCCTTGAATTTTCCTTGGGTTGGAAGCAGGATGTAGTATATCTCAAGCAGTGCTTTTCCATCTCTGCTGTGTATCACAGGACTTGGGAAGCTGGGGTGTCCCTAGGCAGTAGGTTCAGGGTAGGGTCCAAATGTCTGTAATTTTACACTCATACAAGGTGACTCTGGTATAGACGGTGTATGATGTACACAAAGTCTAGCATAAAGGGCATTGTTGAAGGGGTCCCTGCCCCACACACTTAACCCTTGCTCCACCTCCTCCCTCCTCCGGTGGGTACATCTGAGTGGGGATCAGGGTCCCCGAGCAAGATGCTGCCTCAAAATGTCCACTCTGACATCTTGCTTCTTGGGGTATAATTCACCTCCACAGCAGTTATCACAGAATGGGAACCTTTCCAATAGCTCCACCTCCAGCTCTACTTCTGTTCTCAGGTGAGCTCACTGGGCAGAACCCTGGGTTTGGCTCCTCCCTTCCCTTGGCCTCCAAAGAGCCCCTTGGTGATAAAAAATAGTAAATCAATGGTAGACAGTTATTCCTGGGATTGGCAAGAGCCCCACACACAGGGAGCCAAAAGGCTGGCTCCTACTCTCACGTGTGCTATTTGTCCGCTGTGTGATCTCAGCCTGTCATTTGACCTTCTCTGACATGCTTTCTTCTTCTGCAAAAAGGGTCACACGTGCCCTGCTCCCCTCATGGATGTGCAAGGACCACAGAGTCATTGTGGAATGATGAAATGAAAGTGTTTTGTAAACAGTCTTTCAAATGCTCATCATTAAGTCCAGCCCAGGTGAGCGCCTGCTCCCTCCAAGCCCAACTCCCGACTTATTTATTTTCCTCGAGAGTTTGTGACAAGCTGTCTCTCACTGACCAGGGAAGCTTGAAGTCAGACCCAGACTGCTTCCCTCCCTAGTGGTCCCTGCCGGTGGCCTGAGGACAAAACAGTAGAGCACAGAGGCACCCTTGCTGGCCAGGGCCAGGGTCTGTGCCGCATTCAGGTTGCTCCTGAAGGAACCACATCTTTCTAACATCTGTTGCCAAGGGCCTGAGATTCTAGCTGGATGGGCAGGAAGGAGTGGGGACCACGCTGCTCACCATGGGACGAGGCCACCGATCGGGTCCCGGGAGTCACCGCGCAGCAGGCGGCTCCTGGAAATAAAACACAGAGCTGGAGCTTCCCGGGAGCTGCAGGAGAAACTGGGGCAGCCTTGCGACTCAGGAAAAGAGGCGAGCGTGTCCTCAGCAGATGGGCTGCCATTCTGCTGACACAGGGACCAACCCCAAGCTCTCACACTCCTGATACTCAGGTGAAACCCTTGGGTTTATTAACAAAATGCAGCCTAGTGAGAAACCTGCGACTCACTCGGTCCCTGTCATGTGGTTTAGCGTTGTGTTTCCTGCTCAATGGGCACCTCAGCTAATCATGCCTTTAGCTTAGAGCCGAGAATGCCAAAGAGCATCTTTTATTGAATTGAATCAGTCCATTCAAGGAAGAAGCCCGGAACATACAGTGTGTGTCTATCTCTGTTCTGTTTGCTAGAAAAGAACGCTAGTGACTCCCTAAAAATCCTTAAGACAAATGAGCTATTTCAGCCATGTAACTGTGCAGAAAATCCCACAAGGAACCCCAGAGCCTGGTTTGCGTTTCATGCGAGTGGCTTCCTAAAGCATCCCCTTGACTCTCTAAGGGTCCTGCCTCAAAGAAAGGTTCCCATTCCTGCCCAAGGCTACTTCCTGTGGAAGTGGTGCACAGGTCCAGGTACGCTTCTTGCAGAAGGAAGACGGAGCTTCCGGGAGCCTCCTCCCGCCCCCAGGATTGCTTACCTTCTCTTGCAGCCGCTCCAACATGGCGGCAAGGTGGGCCTCCCGGTTTTCCTTGTTGGATTCCATCTTCTGGGCCAGTTTTTCCTTAGCCATCTTGATGAAGTTGTTGTTCTCCTCAATGGCTTTTTGGATCACCTCTCGCTCGTGTTCTCGTTTTTCTGCCAGGTGCTTCAGCAGCTCAGCTTCCTGGTACTGGGGATGCACAGGAGGAGAGAGAGACCCTTGGAGTGAGCCCACCTGAGCACACTTTCACCCTCACAGCTGAAGCACTCTGCATCCAGAACGCGTGTCCTTCTGAGCCTGGTGTCCCAGCCTACGAGCAGGAAGCAAGGACACTTCCTGGATTCTCCCGCCACTTATAGAGCTTTGATTGTTCAGCAGCCTTTTGCTAAGTATCCTCAGGGCCCCTTTTCTCTTTAGCATCATTCATTCATTCACAAATACTAAATGACCTAACTTAACTTGCAGGTGCTGTTCTAGCAACTTTGGAAAGAAAATCTCTAATAGAGATAAGATACACAAGTGAATAACTGAAACCTAGAGGGGCATGTGATGAACACCTTAACGGGTCAGCAGGAAGCGGTGCAGGAACTGGAGGGTGGAGAGGATCACTTCCTGCTTGAGAGAGAGAAGCTCACACTAAGATGGCATCAGAGTGGAGCTATGAGACCCATAGGAAAAATAGAAGGCACCATGGGCTGGAAACATACCATACCGTGGCCTTCTCCCCTCTCTTAGGGAAAGAAAACTTGCCTTCTATCCTCAGCATTATTCAACGTCTTCTTCTCACCATGCACAGGAGGTTACCTCTGAAGGGTACCTTATGCCCTTAACCAAGCTGTAGGCTCCTACAGCACAGGAGATTTACTCTGTTTCCCTCAATGGCACCTCAGCCCCTGCCCCACGTGTGGAAGGTGGTGTCTGGGTATTTGTAGGTTTGAGGTGACCTTAGCCACGCAGGGCCATCACCTGTCATTTCCAGTTCCCTCCTCCTATCACGGACATGGAGGGAAGGGCAGTGCCTACCTTCCTTCGCTCCTCAGCTGCTTCTAGTTTCTTCTGGATCTCCTCCAGCGAAGGGTCTCTCCGCCGGGGTAAGGAGGCGTTGAACTCGGGCACCCCGTCAAAGGAGGGCGGCTTCAGGATGACCTCGAAGGACTGGCCCGAGGTGCATTTATTCAGCTCGATGACCTCCATGTCTGAGATGACACACCAGTTCAGGTCCACCGTGTCTGCTGCAGAGAGCACAGCAGGGGCTGCTCACCTGCGCATGGCTGGGCCCCCAGAAAGCATGCACACATGCGCACAGACATGGAAGAGCTGGGATCCCCAAGGCAGACCAGTGGCCTGCGTGGCCAGAGCTCTGGCTTTGTCCTAAACACAGGTACCTAAGGTCAGTGGGCTCTGAGAGGAATGAAAGGGTCTGTAGCTGTGGTGAGATTTCAGGCTTAGCGAGTCTGCTGCCTGGGGTGCGGGGTTTATTATAACAGCTGCAGCAACACCGGCTGCTTTTGCTTCTGCCTCTACCTCCAGCCTCCTCTGAGATTTGAGCTCCTGCTCAAGTTGGCCTTGCTGGTGGTGGACAGTGGGCTGCTCTACCCACCGCCCACCTGGGTCCTCCTCGCCCCACTGCCCTCTGACAGCTCAGCCTGCGGACCTCTCCCCTGACTCCCTCCTACCCTGTTCTCTTCTTTCTCTCCAGTCAGCACTGTCTTTCCACTGGCTTTGAGCTTTCCTCCTACACTGTCTCCCACACCAGCCTAGACAGAAAAAACAGTCTCAGGTCATCCGAACACCCCCTTGCTCATTGCCAGACCAAATCCATCGCTTCCTCTCAACCAGGACGTGGGAGATGACCTGTGCCCTGACTGCCCTGCACAAGGACACAGCCATCAAGTGCTCCTTGCAGACTGTCCCCTCAGCATCACTGTCACAGTCCCAGATGGAAGTCCAATCCTGGTGCCTCTCCACCCTTCCCTCAGAGACCTGGTGACCACGAGTCTCTCCTCTTCCGGTCTGTGCTCCTCATAACAGGATCTCTGTCTGGGTCCCTTTGCATCCTCCACAGCATAGGTGTGTTCAAGGGTGAACACGGGTGACCCACGAGTGAGTGCTCTGGGGCAGCCTGATCAGACCCGCAATTGCTGTCCAGCACCCCAGGCCACCCCTGCTGCTCTGATACCTGGGCTCTGGCGGGAAAGTGGGCCGTGGCCAGCAGAGTTGCGTGGAACTGGTTGGGTGCTGCACCACGAACACAGGACACAGGAGGCCCCACCCCTCCCTGTCCTAGCTGAGGCTCACTGACCTTCGTATTTGTAGGATGATTTATTCAGGGGGTCCGCCAGGAAGCAGGAGCAGAACAGGGACACAAGCGGGAGCTCCTTCATCTTCTCCTTGTAGGCTGTGGGCACAGCGGCAGGTGAGGAGGAGCCCCGACTGTCTCAGAGGGCAGCCTCCACTCCAGTCAGCCCGAGGCACCCAAACCGCCCAGACCTGCACCCAAGGTGGGATCCGTCCCCCGCTAGAGGTGCCTCTTTAGGGTTTCTGCGTGAGATTCCAACCCTCTGCTGTCCTTCACTGAAATCTCAGCCTTCCTAAGGGCCTCATCCTGCCTAACCCAGAATGCACAGTGCTCTCAGGTGCAGTCCCTGATCTTCAGAGTCCTGACCCAGGTCACAGAGATGACCAAAAGGAAGAAAAACTCAGCTGTCGTCCCACCCACCACCCAGAGATGCGCTGCCTTTGCCCTTGGGTGTATTTCCTACCAGCCCTTTGTCTCTTTGCATCCATAAAAGAGAAACCTCATATGCTAGGGGCCCGTCACACCACCGCGTGTGTGTCTACCTGCGAGGGTCATGCTTGCAGGAATTTGGATGCTGAATCCAACTGGAAGTCACAAGGTGTCTGTCACCAGCTCAGCACACTGTCACAACCCTGAGAAAAGAGGATGTGATGCTTTATTGTGCTAAAGAAGGTCTGCGTACAGCTGCCAAGGGAATCTCAGAGGTGCTGATTTGCGCTGGCCCCCAGCCTGCTCCCCACCAGCACTCACCTCCCCACACACTGCCCACTCTATGATGTCCTGTCTCAAGGCTCGAAAGTATGCAAATGTGACTTCCCTAAAATTCCACGGAGCAAGGAGTGTTTGTCTGTCTCCGTATGCAACACAGTGGCCAGAGCCCAGGCAAGGGTCAGAGTGAGGGGTAAATCCTCAGTAGGAATTACCTGGAGGTGTTTGCAAAGTAGCTGTGTGACTGAACTTCAGCCTACAGACACCCCAGACTTCCCTCCAGCCACCTCCAACAAGGGGTGAGAAGGAGCTGCTGGACAGAGGATGCTAAAAACCCCTCACCTTCCCACACTCCATCAACCACCGACCCAGTCCCTCCCCGGTCCCACTTCCAATGACCCTGGACTATGAGAAGAGGTAGACAGTGAGGCCTTCTGTCATCACTGTTAGTTAGAGACAGAAATTGGCATGTAGGATCTTTATGGGAGGCCAGGGGATCCAGGGAGGACTTCCTGCCCGGGGAACTGCACAGGCAGGGGTCCAGGGTGAGGAGCTCTCTTTGGAGATCCCTCTCAAGTTGCTTTGTGCTGGGCCGAAAGTGAGAAGACTGGAAAGATGATAGGAGAGGCAGAGAAAGGGCAGATCTGGGAGTGTCAGGGGGACAAGAAGTGACAGGACTCCTCTGAGGATTTCCATGAAGACTGAGGAGTAGCCGGTGGTGAATGCTTGTCGTTAGGGTGCTTGGTCCTCGGCCACCCTCAGGGGTCACTGTGCTGGTGGAGGATGGCGTGAGACTGACTTGGAGCCATTTTCCTCCAATAGGGTGTTTTCTCCACTGAGGACCGGGGTCCATACTGGGAGACGTGGGTCCAGCTCTGACCTTAGAGCTACACCACTGGGAGTCAACTACAGATGTCATCTCCCGCTGTCACTAGTCACTTCATGTACCACAGCTTGCTTTTCCCATCTTACTTCCACAGCGCTGCACAAATTAAAAGAGGGAGGCCAGTGCCCAGCATCCAGCACACTGGACACACTTAATAAATGTTACTTTCCTCTCCTTTGCCATTTGCCAAAGAGCAAAGGGTCCTCACCACAGCTCTGCAAGAAAGGACTGTCTTCCCCTTTTACAGACAAGGAAACTGAGGCTCGGAGGGGGTTATAGGACTAGTACAACAACATGCAGACTTGAACCAAGACCTAGCTACCCTTCAGTGCTCTGTTTTCCTTCCTCTTCCCCTCATGTGCTTGGAAGCCAGAGGCCCCTGCCAGGTCCCTCCCACAGCAGCACAATGGATCTTGTCTCCCTGGTGTCAGGCTGGTCCTGACGGTACCAGCGACTCCCCAACAGAGAGGCGGGCCTGGTGCCTGGATGCCAAGGCCTTGGTCATGAGGCTCCATCCAGTGCAATCTCCCAGGGGCCGGGCTGATGGAAGAGTTGACTGGCTGAGAGGCAGAGCCCTGACCAGAGCTCAACCTGAGTGAAGGATGGGAAGGGGAGGTCTGGATAGGTAGAGAAGGAGGCACAGAAACATATCCAAGCGAGAAGAGGACCAAGTAGGCACAGGCACTAGGATCAGGGAACATGCCCATCAGCCTGAGTTGGAATGAGGCTGAGACCCTTTGTGTGTGGAGATCTTTACATCTATTCCCGGGCTTTCACATGGGCTGAGCCAGGTACCATTTGCTTTCAGATAAGGAACTTGGGCCTAAGATCACACAGCTCCTAGGTGGCAGAGCTGAATCCAGGATCTATATCTTCTGGTTTGTACGCTCTTCCCTAGTGGCCAGTGGAGGACCTAGAAGCTCTTTCTGGTTCTCCCATGATCCGAAGGACTCTGGACAAACCAATCTAGCCTGTGGGTATCCCTTCACTTAAAAATATGAATGTAAGTACTGTTTGCATAGAAGATATCATGCCAAGGGCTTTTGGAACATAAAGAATGGCAGCAAGCCAGAAAAGGATGCCCAGGGATGCCACAGAGGTAGGCAGGGGTACCCATAATGAATGGTAACTAAGACCTCTTAGCACCGCAGGGTTAGAATTGGCAGGATTAGAAATATGCACTTACACAACACGTACCATGTGACAGTCTCTTCACTTTAATTTCACGATTGCTTTGTGAGATAGAAACGCTAGCCCCACTTTATAAATAAGTGAGAAAGAGTCTCAGAGAGGCCATTCAGTATGGTGAGTGCAGTGAGATCTGTCCACGTCTTATCCCCTACAGCACTTGAACGTGGCCTTCTTTGGAAAAAGGATCTTGGCAGATGAAATTAAGGCTCTCAGGATGAGATCATCTCTGATTGCCCATGTGGGTTTTCAGCGCAATGTTAGGTCCTTATATGTGACGCTCAGAGGGGAGAGGGTGAGCAAGCCACGTGAAGATGAGGACCTTGGATACCAAAAGCCAAAAGACGCACAGAAGGGTCCTCACTGGAGCTCCTGAACAAATGTGGTCTACTGAAGCCTTGCTATAGGATTTCTGGCCAGCTCTTTTGTGGTAAGGTGTCATGGCAGCCCTAGAAAACCCATGTTCTTTGTAAGTGACAAAGCCAGGATTCAAACTCATGATTCTTTCACCACACCTCAACAATCAGCATTTGCATATGGTCTGACTTGTTCCTCAAGATAATCTGTGCACAGGTATTTGTAAATACATGGTGCTCCTAAAAATTCTGAGGCCAACAGTCATGCCATGTCTACTGCACTAAACACCCCACAGAATACTGCTGCCCAGAGAGCATTCTAAGAAAGGATGCAGAAGTTATGGGGTCAAAGGTAATCAAGATTTCTGTAGAATAGAACGGGGAAAGGGACCCTAAGCCACTAGGGGTGGTGGCCATGCAGGGAGCCTGACTGTACCACAAATTAGCCTGTGATATCCACATTTTGTGGGATTAGCCACATCTGCCTCCCCAACCCTGAGCCTGGTGGTGAAACTCAAACTCATCCTGCAGAGGCCGTTAAATACCCATGAGCATATTGTCACGTCATTGCAGAACACAGACCACAGTGGAGTGGAGACCACCACACCCCTCCTGGGATCACCAAAAAGGGTGGTGAGGGCTGTTGCTGCTCAGGGTCAGAGGGCACAGAACACCAGGAACTCTGGCAGGCAGGAAGAAAACAGAGAGGTGATAGAGACCATGAGCGTGTGTTCAGGTCCTCACAAAGGGATTCTACCCAAGCCATCAGAGCGTCATAAGGCAACCCCATGGTGAGGCCCAGCCGGGGGTCTCATGTTTTCTACTAAGGCAGAGGGTGATTCTACAATTGGGCAGCCCCCAAGGAAAACCAGGAAACTCACCGCACCCAGGAGTAGAAAAGATCAAAGCTTCCTTTACTCAGGGTGGGTGTGACACAATCCCTCCGCCAATAGCCCAGAACCAGAGCTAGATGGTGGCACCCAGACTCCTGCTCAGTGTACACGCACAGGTACTTTGGGTAGGCACACAATAATCTGCAAGAGGCAAGGCCCCAGGCTACCAGTCCCTGGGCTGCTGGGGACTGACCCAGCACAGCAGGTGGAGAGAGGCCTCAAGCTGCAGCCAGAAAGTGAGCCCAAAGGCTGATCCCAGTCATGGCGGGCCATCTTGCAAGGCAGGTTCTGTGTGCCTATAGCTGTAGGCGGGGCTTTGGAACCTGACTGTAGCAGGGCATGGATGGGTTTATTTGGGAGCAGAGGAGACCCACTGGGTCACAGGCAGGATGCCTTGGGACCGAATGCTAGAATCAGAACAAGATGATTGTAGACACCTCTGCACTGTGTAGGAGTGTATAGCTTCTCTTCCTTTAGGAAGCCCCTGGCATCTTTTGAATGGGAAGAGAGGGGAGTTGCAATGCTCGTGGTCACTGGCACATCTCAGGTCATTCTGTGAAGGTCTTTGAACTTAGTGGAGTAAGGTCAGTTACATCACGTCCTGCACGTATTATGGGGCAGAGCTGGGATTTGAGTCCACGTGTTACACTTCCTGCCTTCTGGTTCTAGTACTGGAACTAGAGATTCATCCATTAGCTTGGGGGGAAGATTAGGAAGGGAGCCCAGGAAGCCATGTCCAGGTGCAGAGTTACAGGCTGGATTTCCTGCATCCCCCTCCCCACCACAGCACCCTTCTCCCTCTTATGAACTGACCCATCCACATCCCAGCTCCAGCAGCTGAGAGTCTCTGTGGGGAAAAGGAAGTCATCGCATCTTTCTTCTGATGCATGAGCCACTAGCACAGTGGACAAAGTAAGCTGGTGGTGATGAACCCACCCAGCGGAGTGCCAGAGATCAGACACAGAAGAGCCAGTGTGGATTGGGGCAGCGGTGGCTGATGATGATGCACATCCAGGCTGCTGACTGAAGAGACTTCTCATGGTGGCGTGGTGGGGAGAAAAAGACTCATAAAGAGAAGAGATCAGAGTTCCCAATTTCCCCAGGACATCAGAATGTCAGAGAGAGAGAGAGAGATGGAGAGAGAGAGAGATCCTTGAGCCAGTGGTTCTCTGGGAGAAGCAGTCTGACTCCTGGGAATAAGTGGGACTCTCTGATTGTCCCACTGGAATGCAACAGGTATTCACTGGGTACAGGCCAGGTAAGCCAAGTGTCCCACACTGCACACAACATTCCCACACAAAGGACGGTTGTCCCAATCCAAATGCCAATACCACCCTCCATGGAGACCATAGATCCTGAGGTCACACAGCAAGAGGCTGGTAGAAAAGGGACCACAGAGCCCAAGCCTCTGGGTTCAGGGGAGGTGGCTTTCCCCTTCACACTGGCCCCTTCTCCCCAAACATCACCTTGAATGAGAGGAACAACCTATGTGGGGTCACCTGAGCAGCTTCCAGTGAAAAGATGGGCACACAGAAGGGAGGGACACCTGCTAGGGGGTCCTAATAGGGTCTTAACCCTCCCAGGCTGTTTCCTATGCAGTT